GTCGAACTAGAATCTAGAAGCAGAAAGAAAGGACAAGACCGGGTTGCAGAAACACATAGAGACAGCTGACCTCAATAAGGAGGAGCTAACGGGCCCCCAGACTGATAGCTGGGAATCCAGCACGGGACTGACTCAGGCCCCCCTGAATATGGGTCTCAGCCAGAAGGACTGAGCAGTCTAAGGGACCTCAGACAGTGGAACCAGGATGTATCCCTGGTGCACAAAAGGACCTTGCAGATATATCACCCATGGAGGGATAACTGCCTTAACCTAGAGACAGGAAAGAAGTCCTAGTCCTTACTTCAAATGACCTGACAGATCTACATGACCCCACCTGGATGGCATTGCCCTACATGTGGAATTGGGGTTGGGGGGGTGGGAGGGGAGTATGGTCAGGGTGCATGTGAGGGGGCAGAGAGGGTAAGAGGGAGGGAGACAGGGAGGGAGGGAGGAAAGGAAAGGGAACCGGGATTGACATGTAAAATAATAAATTAAATTAAAAAAATTCTTATAGATTTGTTGATCTAGAAGAAAAACTGTCCCATCCCATTACTGTGTTCCCCTTTGTGTGATTATAGAAGACAATAAAGACTAACTGGCTAGCTCTAGACAAACAAAAATATCTCTTATTTAACTCAAAACCTGAAAGAAATATTTCTTCTCTTTAAAAACAAATGTTCTTTTTAGCTATCACCTGCACCCCAGACAACTACTCCAACCCTCCTTCCAAGACCCAGAGCCAATCTTTTCCGATCTCCACCAATCCAGCCTCTATGCATCTGACCCCAGACCTGCTGTCTTGATAAAACTATGCCCTTGTTCTCTGCATCCAGCAGCCTTGAACAACCCTGCACTCTCCTACCTGGTCACCCTCTTGAACAAATTCTTGGGCTTGCTGCTGTCCCTTCCTCACCTATTTTCTCCACTTCTTCATGATCACTTCCTCAGCTTAGTGTTCTCCATACTCACCATGTCCTTCATCTTGTTTCTGAGCAAAGCTTTGCTACTAAGCATCTGGATCCTTGGCCACCACTATTCCTGACTCTCAGCTGTCTGCTCTGATGGGAAAGTGGGGAAGACAGGCTTGATCACCTCATGAGGCTGACTGAAGCACATAAAACTGTACCTAGAATATTCTGAGAAGCACTAAGGATTGAGAAATGAAACGTCTGCTAAACAGGCAAAGTGGTTTTAATATTCACACAACATCCCAATAAATGGCAAGAACACTTTTGAAACAAGCCTTAGGCACTAGCACATTCATCATGGTGCCATCTCACCGGAGGGTGAATTGCAGGGGGCAAGATCATGAATAGCAGTTCCCCTCACTGTCTTGAAAAACTCTTGTAATAAAAATACACACAGCAACAGAGAGGGGCTAAGTGGTGGACTGGGATGTGCAGAGAACAGTGGGCCAACATATCAGAGCTTCCACCACATCCTTTACTTCTGTAAGAAATGCTGTGAGATACACACTGGGAAACACATAGACTATGTAAGAAACAAAGCCTGCAACACTGAAATGCAGTGCTGCCTCCTTCCTATTCCACAGGGGCCAGAAATAGAGAGGCCAGAAAGCAGTGGGGCTGGGGGTGGGAGGGGACAGCGGAGGGGGAGGCATCTACACTGGAGGTGAGTTGTTTTCACAACTCTGCAGCCTCTAGGTGCCCTGTTAAGGACCTGGCAAACATGAAAGGATCCAGGATTATTAAAGGTCAGAGACAAGAACTCCTTCCCCAGCCAGGCCTGGCAGATGCTGTTTAAGCTGATCTCTCTCTGAGGTGGGGGTGACTGCAGCAACTCCCCAGCCAGCCAGCAGCCAGCTTCCTGACCTGTTTTAGCTCTGGCTGGCATCTTCATGCTGCAGCACTCTTCTCAGTATTTTTACTTACTAAAATCTTGTGGCTAACCTTTAAATAAGGCGACTGTTTCTCAGTTTTGGAGCCATGATGGCTAACATCCAAAAGGTGATCAACTGTAATCAACTGACACAGCAGGAGGTCCCCAAAGCAATGTCAACTGCCATCTGTCCACAATGAATTAGTGTGATAGAGGACAAAAAGAAAAGGACCTGTGACAAAGCAATTCACAAGAGGTTTGATATACATATATATATAGAACGGTCTGGTTCAGAATAGGCTTGTTAAAAATGAAGGACAGACAGACATAGACATCTGGCTATCTTCTGACTGAGGAGAGACAGCAAATAACGAGTCTACCAAAAGCTGCAGGGTAGTATGAGTAAAGGACAGTTTTAAAACAAACTGGAGCCTCAAAGGCTTGAGTATGATTAAATGCTGATGAGCAAAGACAGACAGAACAAAGCCAAGGGAACAGACAGACAATAGATCAAGGTCTCATAGAAAGGAAAAGAGCTGGCAGGCAAAGACCCGGGTAGAAATAGCATCAGACCAGTGCTGAGCTATCTCCTCCATGCTAGGAGGTGCCAAGGAGGGTGTAGAGGCAGACATGCTGGGGACCTGGTGATAGAAAGCTCAGGGAAATGCAATAACTATTCTCTCTATGAAGTCGATGGTCAAGTTCACTTGGCTGAGAATGAGAACAATGGGGTAAAGGCAGTGTTTAAGGAGATACTGCTGTGATGAACAGGGAGGGCCAACCAGGACAGGAGGAAGGTTCTGCTTAGCACTTGGTATCTAGCCAGGGGTGGAACTCTGTCTGTCTAGTATGTTCAAAGACCAGGTGGAAGACAGTGAAGGGCAAAAGTACCAAGCCATAAGAGATGGAGAAATCCAGGGAAGGCTCAGGCTCAAAGAACATACAGATGAAAGAAAGGAGGGGTGTTCCAGGTAGAAAGACACGGAACAGAAACACTACAGTACTAGAGAGTCACTGGCTGGAAATAAGACTGAGAAACCCTGTATAGGTCAAGGTTGTCACAAAAGGTTGCTCAATGGGAAAGGTTATTTTTTACTGCACCCGCCCGAGGATGATAGCGTTGTTAAGGTGAGGGGACAACATGTTCTGAGAAGGCTAAACACTGTAATCTAGAGAAAGGGTCAACTTACCGAGACTGAAGAGAGAGTGACTTTGAAGCCACAGGGAGAACTGACACAGCCAGTGCAGCACACCTCGCATAAAGTAAGATAATGGCAAGACAGTGAGGGGCAAGACTGCAACTGGAGCGCAGAGACATTCCCCGAAGCACGGCAACATCTGTACGCTGTAAAAGCAGCGCACAAACACCAAGGCCAAGAAGCAACTGTCTTATTTCAGCTGCATTGACCTCAGTGGAGAGTGTGACTCTGCGGTATCAAAATCACTCAGACTTAAAAAAAAAAATCACTCATTGATCTGACAGTTGGTTGAGAAAGCTCTGAGTTAAATTGGAGAGTGAGAGATTAAGAGATGGGAGGGAGAGAGGGGGGGGAGGGAGGGAGAAAAAGGGAGAGAGAGTGGGAGCGTGCTCAGAATGAACTTGGAAAAGTCAAAACTTTAGGGATGGCAAGAATGAGAGCAAGCAACCCAGAGTCCTCTATTTTAGGATCAGACTCCCTTGAGGAAGACACTTTCATTTTAATAACAGTGAATGACTTTCCCCCGTCTGCTTTAGGTACCAGCTGGGTCTAGGGTTCCTGGACAGGTATAGGAAGACAAGAAATTTAGTTCTCAGCTTCTTCCTGGTGAAAGCAGGCACTTGCTGGCTCGGCTTTCTGATGCACCTCACCAACCCTTCTCCCGACTTGCTTCGTAAATGTACTTCCTTCAGCCTCACTCACATGTTTGGATTTTAAATAACTGGAAGAAGGGCTTCTTACATTGAGTTTGGTAAGATTTTCCTTTATGTAACACAGACTTGGAATGATTGCCTCAGAATCTTGAATTTCTATTTCTGTATACAGCATTCTTCTGGAAATCCAGGATTAAAAATCGAGAACAAAACAAAATAAAACAAAAACAAAAAAATGGTTCTCGTGAGGTTATGACAAAAGCAGCAAGTGTAGCTGGCCTGTCCCTTGCTTCTGCATGGACTCCCACTATGTATGCTGCTATCACAATCACCAGAGGGCCCACTGGATGTTACACAGAGAGCTTCCAAGACTGCAAAACAACCCCCTTCTTCAGTAGCCATGTCAGGTACTGCCACCAAATGAAAAACTAGCCGGTATGTATAATAAGACAAAATGCTCCTTGGCAGGATCAGAGGAGACAGAAATGTAACCTGCAAGGGAGTGTACTGTCTCAGAGCAGCTACAAAGCAAACAGCAGTCCCCCATTCTGCATAATTCAGGTGTTTAGCACAGTGGAATCCAGAGCCAGGTAGACGAGGTGGAGGACCATGGGAGGGCTTTGTAATGAACTCTAATTTGAGATGGAAAGAAACAAAAAGTATTTTGTTCTGTCTTTTTTGTCTGTACTAGGAATCAAACCCCTAACCTGGGACATGTTAGACAAGTTTTCTACCTAACCCAGGAGGATCATTGAATACAAACTCTTAAGTTTATAATGTGCCTGGATGTTGTCATGTGTTTGTTTGTTTTTGGTTTTTTGAGACAGGGTTTCTCTGTGGTTGAGGCTGTCCTGGAACTAGCTCTTGTAGACCAGGTTGGTCTCAAACTCACAGAGATCCGCCTGCCTCTGCCTCCCAAGTGCTGGGATTAAAGGTGTGTGCCACCACTGTTGGGCTGTTTGTTTTAAACAGGGTTTCTCTGTATATCCCTGGGTGTCCTGGAATTTGGTTTGTAGACCAAGTTGGCCTTGAACTAAGAGATCCACCTGCCTATCTCTGCCTCTCAAGTGCTGGATGAAAGGTGTGGGACACCATGCCTAGTTTGTCATGTGTTTCTTACAGACATATGCAAACAATTCTTGGGAGGGACATTGGTCAGAGTTGCCCATGATCTCCCATCAGCATTCGGGTCTTGACCTGTCAGGAGAGCTATAGTCAGGTGTCTTTGAGGAGCAAGTAGATACCTACTCCAGAAGGGAGACATACAGACATCAATACCATTCCTTTCAAAGAAAGAAATCTGACATACTTGCAAGGGAGAATCCGAACAACATCATTCTGCTTATAGCTCTCTATGCAGACTGCACAGTGATCAAAGTCTGGGTCTGTTTCCTGAAACAAAAAGCACAGGAGCTGAGCGTGAGCACACAAGAGTTACAACTCAGCTAGGAACAATGCTAAGGTAAGCAGATGGCTACAAAGGGAAAGGAACTAAAAGTAGTAACTTTTCATTTGATTAAGTAGGGTGACCCAAATTACATATCAACCAACCATACAATCTATACTAATTCTATTTATAATATGCCTTAGAATAAGCCAGAACTCTATTTTTTTCTCACAATTCACAGCAGATCACCTTGGATTATCATGTGTCTACCCCAATCCCTCTATTACTACCTAGGCTCAATAGGTTTCATTGTTACAATCTAAAATATTAAGATCCTTATCAAGAGGCTCATGCAGCCAATCAATTCCTAAAACACAGCTACATATGATGGGGAGTACCTAGTAGACTCCTATGTTATAATAGTCCTAACTCAAGTATGGAAATTGCACTCTGATCAGACTTGGGTAGTTTCCTGTTGCACCCGTCCCGCCAGCGGGAAGAACGACAACAACAGGATTCTTCTCAAGCACACTTTATTGGGAGCTCCAAGCTGAAAGAGAGAAAGACTGAAAAAGAGAAGGAGAAGGACCCCGACCCTACGGAGCGCCAAGCTTATATACTCATGATGATGTGGACATGCAGCGTCATCTGATTGGCTTAGGTCTCATCGGACGATTGTGCATCACCCAATCGGGATAGGTGAGCAGCCATCTTAGGATAATGTCACAATGTTCATGGGCAGACGATTAGGCATGCGCAGACAATTAGGATACAAGAACAATAAACAAGCTGACGTGGCAAAGCCTGACGAAGCCAACGTGGCCAGCGTGGCTTCCCACAGTTTCCAGTTTAACTCAATATTGAGTATTTATCAAGAATCAGGAAAAAACAACCAGTTATTTGGTCACCAGGTTAATAGACTTCCTTCACCCTCTAGGTTCCCCTAGCGTTGTCTTAAAGTATGCCAATAGCCTAAGCCATTGCCACATGGTTGGCAGGTGCAAGGGATACAAAAAAGTGTGCTAGCTTTCATAATTATAGGAAAGGTTATTTAGTACTGAGGAGGTAGGTAGAAGAAGATAAAGAGGTTGTACGGAATCCAGGGATTTTCTAATTAATAGCAGTTGGCCAAGCCAAAAAAAGCATGTGTACCAGGAACTGGTCTAGGGTTAAGTGCAGCTGTCTTGATGCAAGCTTGCTTTCTGCAAGTGCCCTTTCCTTAGTGTGCAGTGACACCCAGTGTGAACGTCCGTACCCCTGCAGCTGTGCCGAGGGCAACCAGCTCCAGCATTCACAGGCACAGGAGTAAAAATGTTGAAGGAAAGAATGTGGCAAGACAGAAAATAGTCACACAAAATCCTCCTTTCAGAGCTCTCCGATAAAATACTGGCACTGGGTGTGGGGTGCTAGATTGTCTTGTGTTTTTTTTTCTTTGTTTGTTTTTGCTTTTGTTTTGTTTTTCCCCTTTGAGATTTCTTTTTTTTTTTTAAAAAAAATAATTCAAACTTGGAAAGTTTGAATATGCTGAATAAAGAAACTAATACTAAAATGCCATTTGGCACTTGAGCTCTGACTAGGGAATTGTGAAGAAAGGTTTCAGCTCTGCTATTTGTTGCCATCTCTTTTACTTGGTCCCCTTTAGGTCCAACTGTTATGAAGCCCTTGTTAACTGAAATTCCCTAGAAATGAAGGTCTTCAGGCAGGTCTTAACTGAGAAGAAACAAAACCCAAAACAGATGCAGCAGTCCTAAGAAACAGAAGAAAATGTACTTCTCTTGGCTATTCTATGTGCAAATTGTCTCAGAACTCCTGGAAGATGTGTGCTTACCTGTCACAGAAGAAAACTACAGAGAACAAGCAGTGTTAACTGTGAGTAGTCACTGACGCTGCTAACAGCAAGAGTACCTGAAGTTCAGGAAAGCTGAAGACTAGCTGAAGGCAAAGCATGAACGAGATTTCAAAGAAGAAAGTAATTTCATTACTGTACCTTATCACCCTTTTTCACTGTTCTAGTTGTCAATTTACTGATGGCTTTCTTGGCTGCATCTCCAAGACGACGCTAAGAAAACAAAAAATAAAAAGACATTAAATGGAAGATTTATGAATAATGGTCCTCATTTTAGTACCTGATGCTGAAGTGAGCATATGATCTTTATTTTAAATAATTAAAGATATGATGTCTCTATTATCCTAGACTACTTCTGTCATATAAGTGGATTCTGGAAAAGCAATACATATTTTAAACACTGGCAGCTATACCATAGATTCTTCTTTCTAGCTGAATAAAAAGTGTATTTGGAGAGAACAATACTTGTTCATCCCCTTCGGTTTGATTCTGTGTGATGCCACCCGTGCTGCCCCATCCCCTAGCACTGCCACTCTTGCCCTATGAGCTTTCCCAGTGTGCTCTGCCAATAAGCACTGCTGGGGATATAAACTGTCTTAGTGAAAGAAACCAAAAAAGTCCCACTAAATTCTCATGATAGCACTGAGAATAGACACAGTGACATATCTACCCCTGGTTCAGCTCTCATTATTCTCTGTGATCTTAGAGAAGGGTGTTTGCTTGTCTAGGATTAACTCAGGTAATTTCTAAAATTTTACTTATCCAACATCGCCAGTCACAAACAGCAATGCTGGACATCAACAACACAATGATGACATGACAGTGAACCTGTATCCCAGCCTTAAGGAGACTTCTGAACTTAGGGGATTTCTAAAGGAATACATTTTATGTGGTGATGAGTGATGGGTTAGGAATAGGGAAGAAGAAGGTGCTGAGGAAGTGATGCCAGAGCTAACTCTTGGGAAACTAAGCAAGGAGGACCTAGGAAGGAGTTAAGGACAGGATGGGATTCTGTACAAAAGAATCAGAATGTTTTGTGAGTCTGAGCTCACACTGGATAACAGACACAAACTGAGACTGTCTCAGACAGCCATTCTAAATACAATTAGATTTTAAACTGAGCAGAGGGCTGAAGGAGTAGGGAGGGAAAAAAAAAAAAAAAAAAAAAAAAAAAAAAAAACCAAGGGAGACCTCACATTGTATTGTTAGGATTTAAAAGAAAAACAGGAGGACATTAGGAGAAAATTAAAAATCAAAATAAAATAATTTACTGAATATCTTTGTATATAACACCCAGCTTTAACTATCAATATTTTGCTTGTAATTTCATTTAACAACCCCCCCCCTGTATTGTAAGGATATCAACTTGTCACATCATCTAATCTTCATTTTTCCATCTCTGACAGGGGCTTTTGTTTGATGGTACTGCTGGTAGCTGGTTTGTATGAACCAGAATATAAAGTCTAAATGTTATTTACTTGCTATGTTTTTCAAGTCTCTTTAGCCTGAGTCCCATCTATCATACTTGAAAACAAACAAAAAACCAGCTTGTAGAGATATAATGGGCTTAAACTGCTCATTTAAGGGGTACATGTTATATTCATTTAAAAACACGTTGAAAGTCCATGGCTAGAGCTCACAGTTTATTTTCATGCACTGCTTTAGAGACGTTAGTCCAATTCTGATGGACTGTTTTGTGCTTCATTCAGTTCAAATGTTTTATTTTTTCTTGTTTGACTTCCTAAGACCATGGGTTAATATTCACATATTTAGGGGTTCTTGAGATTTTTCTGCTACTGATTTATTTAATTTCAAGTGGTCAGTGGACATATTATATCCTGTGTAAACTTGACTCCTTGGTTCTATGGCCTAGAATGTATGTCAAAAGAATGTGTTTTGCTCTTGTTGAATGAAGTTCTCTATCAATGTTCACCTGGCTCCATCAGCTGGCTATATAAGTCTCTTCTACACTAGCTGCTCTCAGGCTGTGTATGCTTCAGTGACTGAGATGGCAGGCCAGCAGTTCTTGCCTCCGTTTATAAAGCTTTGTTACTAGGCATTTAAGATTGTGATGTCTTCTTGTTTAAATGATTGCTTTATTAAGAAATAACTTAAATTCCCAGAGACAGCTGTGCTCTGAAATTTACTCTGGCATTAATGTAACCACTTAAAAGTTTATTTTAATTTGTGTTACTAAGGTATGGCTTGTTTCAGTCTTTTTTTTTTTTTTTTAACCTATTTTAACACTTATTTATACAAGCATCATCCTCCTGAAATACTTCCTTAGTCCCATGCATTTTTATATTATATTATATATTGGTACATATAATATATACACTGTACATACATAAACACATATTTGGTTTTACAAGACAGAGTTTCTCTCTGTAACAGCCCTTGCTGTCCTGGAACTTGCTCTGTAGACCAGGCTGACCTCAAATTCACAGAGTTCTGTCTGCATCTCCTCCCGTGCTGGGATTAAAGGCATGCACCACAACCACCTGTCTGAGCAGTTTTGGAAGCAGCACATAGATGGGTCTTGCTTTTTTGTGAAATCCATTATCTTAATCTCTGCTTTTGAATGACATGTTTGCACCAAGTATTCCAGATTCCAGGATTATTAGATCTTTTATCTGTAAATTGTTTCACCTGGAACTTGCTTCCTACTCCACGTGTCCATGTCACCTCCTCTGTTGGGTACAATTAGAAGTGTTAAATTTTTTTACATTAATTAATTTATGTATGTATACACAAACTTCTGTGAAGGTAGGAGAACAGTGTGAAAGAGTCAGATCTACTTTTGATATGTGGGTTCTGAGACTGAACTCAGGTCATCAGGCTTGTATAGCAGTTCTTTATGAGCTGAGCCATTTTGATAAATTCGATTATGTAACTCTTTGTCTTATTATTTTAGTGGCTGCTTTAGGGTTAATGCATACATCTTTAACCACAGTTATGCCACTACATAAAAATATATATAGTTCTCTGTCTCTCTGCAACCTGTTTTGAAACAAGGTCTCACTCTATGTTCTAGGCTGGCTGATTTAAAACTTATAAGTACATCAACCTGGCCTAAATTTATCATTTGGCTTCAGCCTCCTGGTTCCTGAGATCCTGGGTGTGATCCACCATGCTGCTAGTACCCCATTATTTCTTCCTCTTGTCTTTTGTGTTATTTTTGCCATCCCTTACACTTATACAAATTTTATAAACTCAGTAATACACTATAACCATATTTCGGATTTTTTTTTCTTTTTTGAGACAAGATTTCTGTGTATAGCCTTGGCTGTCCTGTGAACCAGGCTGGCCTTGAACTCACAAAGATCTACCTGCCTCTAACTCCCAAGTGCTAGGATTAAAGGTGTGTACCACCACTGCTGCCCATTTCAGATTTTTTTAAGAATTAAAAATTATGGTTATCATGTATGTAGCATTAAATTTACCACTTTAATCCCTTTTAAGTATGTGGCTCAGTGAATTAAGTGTATTTGTGGCAGTATATCCAAATTCACTCATACAGCTCTTGATAATTAGTATTATGATTTTGATATTCTAGGTAGCTTAGCTCTTGATACTTAGTATTATGATTTTGATATTCTAGGTAGCTTATAGAAGAGGAATCACAGTTTTGAGTAGTATTTTCCAAGGTTCACTGCTGTGGTAGCATGCCTCAGAATTCCCTTCCTTTCTGAAGGTAAATGATATTCTACTGTATGTATATACAAATTTTCTTGGCAAAGGCTATTGCTACATACCCCATGCTGGTATCACATTTGACAACCTCTGCCTAAGCTTAGCAGGTGCATACACCATCATGCCTGGTTCATATCACATTTTATTCAACTATTCATGTACAGATAAACTCTGGAGCTGCCTCTACTTTTTGACTAATGTGAATTATGCTGCTATAAATATATTAAATTCCTGCTAATGCCTATCATTTTTAGATATTATCATCTGTGTTTCCATAGTGGAAACATCAATTTATTTATCTATTGGCAATGTACCACAGTTACATTCCTTGTATCCACACCAGTAGTTGTCATTTTCTGTTTTTAAAACACACGCGCATGCACACACACACACACACACACACACACACACACACACACACACACACACACTTTAAGCATCCTGATAGGCTTTCATTAGTATCTCCCTAATAAAAATGTTTTAGATATAAAACTTTAAATTCATTAAGATTAGATAGATAGTAAAAGTATTTTCTCAAAATATGCCAAATAAAAATGGACTAGACATTATGAATACAATTTTTACTTAATAATTACTCTTACTGAATATAGTTTCATTTGTTAAAGTTAGTATCTTTCCTTTTAATTTAGACAATACCTGATAATTGTTCTTACTGTATATAGTTCTCCTGTGTTAGAGTTAAGACCTTTCCTTTTTATTTAGATATAAAGGGGAAAATGTTACAAAATAATCTTTTTGTACAATGAGAAGATGTGTCACTCTGATTGTTTTACTAAAAAGCTGAATGACCAATAGCTATGCAGGATTTCCAGTTACAAATGATGCTGGGAAGGAGAAGGGTGGAGATGCCAGGGAATGTTGAGCAAGCAGAATGGGCAATACGGAGATGAGGTAATAAAGTTACAAGACAGAAATTAAATTAATAGAAATGGGTTAATTTAAGTTATAATAGCTAGTTAGAAAAAGCCCAAGCCATCAGCTGAGCTTTCATAGTTAACAATAAGTCTCTAAGTCATTATTTGGGAGCTGATGGTCTTGACCCCCCCAAAAAAAAATCCACCTACAAGCAGATTTCATGAGCCCCCACTAGCTGAGGAGGTACTGACAAGCTGATGACTTCTGGGGGAGGAGAGTCAGGGATGTGGTCCCTGGCAGGTCAAGCATGCCCTGATGGATGGCTCTATATCTATCACAAACTGGATTACAGGGTTATTTAAAGAGACAGGATGTTGGAAGTTGGTGGGTGGATCTGGGAGGAATTAGGTGAATATGTTCAGAATAAATTGCATGAAATTTCCAAAGAATGAATAAATGAATGAATAAAAATACTACATTAACAGAGTCTCTGAAAATAACCTTTCATTGCAATTGTGCCACCATCTCAAATAGTTGTTTACATTTATTTTTACTTTTAATTTTTACTTATTAATTTGTGTTTCCCAGGTTGACCTGGTTTCAAACTTAAGACACAAAGCAACCCTCCTGCCTCTCTCCTGAGT